CCCAGACCTCTCGGGTGGGGAACGACCTACCCCAAATCCAGGCGCGTACTGGTCAAATCAGCTACGTATCCATCGGTCGGGAGGAGCGGGTACCGACAGGGGGTGGGAAGGCATCGAAAGTTGATTGCGCTTCCGCCCGCCCCCTGAAGCGGAGGGACAGGAAAGAACGCTCGACCCTTGAAGCTCGGAAAGCACCTAAACTGGACTGGGATCTCGGAGTCCAGAAATACACACCTCCAACGACCGGCGTGCAACCCTGAGCACAACCGTCTCCACAAAAGTGCGAGCAGAGAAGGGCGAGCGGGGGGAGGAGAAGGAGGAGGAGGAGGAGGAGGAGGAGGAGGCCTCCTTGAGGAGGAGGAGGAGGAGGAGGAGGAGGAGGAGGAGGAGGAGGAGGAGGACGAGGAGGAGGGAGGAGGAGGAGGAGGATTCGGCGAGGTGCAGCCTCGAGCCCGCCACAAGCGCACATCCACGGGTGCAGCGAAGGGTGGGCGCACGACGAAGAAGAGGGCGGCCAGAGGGGCGGGGGGGAGGCGCGCAGTCACTTCCTGGCCAGGACGTGAAGGAAGACGCCCCGACGTGTGCAGCTGCTGCGTGCTGGGCTGGCGCGGAAACGCCACGGCTCGTCGAGGAGAAGTCTCTCGCATCTGTAACGCAACCGCCCAGCGTCGACCCATGCCCCGTTGACTTCTGCGAGAACCCCCTTCTGAAAACCGCAGCGCTCGCAGACAAAACCTCCCCCCAAGAAAGCGCGCGTTTGCATCACTCCCGTAACGGTCAGGAGCGGGTTTGGGCCCCGAGTAGCAGTAACACGTGGTCAGGAGCACGTCGGGAGTGGGGGTGGGGGCGCTGCCATCGCCGTGCTACGACTGCGAGTGCCAGCATGCATGGGGGGGGGGGGAAGGCGTCTAGACGCCCCCCTGCGCACGATCGCCACCATTACCCGTCTGGGGGGGGGCTTCGCACAGGTAACAGCTGTGACGGGCCAGATTGCCCTGACGAAATACAAAAGAAGTCCAATGGCTACTGGGACCGCACACCGCGCTGCCTCCGCAACCGTCCACGGCCGCACCACCCGTGACCTGGAGGGGAGAGCTGCGGGCTGACTGCCTACCAGACCACCCCAACCCAACCCGAGGACCCGAATTTCGGGCTGGGGGGGGGGGTCAGGGTTCCACATGTGTTTTTTCGATGTTTCCCGACCCCCCGCCTGGAAATCGAGGGTAAATCTGAGCCTTCGGGTTGGGTTGGGGTGGTTTGGTGGGTGGTGACGGGCCAGGACTCGTCTGGCAAGAGCGAGGAGGGCGACGCCATCCAGCGGGTGAGGCCAGACGCCGCCCGCGCGCGAGGTTCGCTGCTGGACATCCTGGACATCCTGGGGCAGGAGGAGGAGGAGGAGGAGGAGGAGGAGGAGGAGGAGAAAGAGGAGGAGGAGGAGAGAGGAGAGAGGAGGAGGAGGAGGAGGAGGAGGAGGAGGAGGGGGAGGAGGGAGGAGGAGGAGGAGGGGGAGGAGGAGGGGCGGGGGCCCTGCTGCTGGCTCCGAGGCGATCTTGGGGGCTGCTTCGGAGGCCGCGCGGGGCCGGAGAGCGGGGCCTCTGTTCTGCTCGGGCGTGCGCAAGCCCCTGGCGGGCGCTCCAAGCCCCGAGCTCGAGCGAGTCCACGGCAGGAGACTCACTCCCGGAATCGCAGTCGAGGCCCCAGGACGTAGAAGTAGATGCAATATATATATATATATATATATGTATGTATGTATGTATGTATGTATATATATAAACGTGCTTCGCCCCCCCCCCCCCCTACTCTGCTGGAGCCTTCTCGGGCCATCGCTCGGGCACCGTGGGCTGGTCGAGGCTCTCGGGGAGATCTGTGGGTGCTGCGAGGATCCGTGTGGTGTCTTAAGACTGTGGTGTCTTAAGACGCTCTTTGGAACTCTTGGAGCCCGCCTGATGCCCTCTGGGGCTTCGTAAAAAAGGACTGCGGGCCGCCCTGGGGGTGGCAGCCCCAGTGGTGGGAACACTGCGGGGGGGGGGGCACTTTTGAAGGGGCCCACAAACACACAAATAAATAGACACAAATAAAAGGATGCCCCATATTTTTCACATATTTTCTGGGTTTTTGTTTTCCCCCCACTTCCCATGTTTTCGCATATCTTCTGGGGAATCGACGATTAATTGTGTCTGTGTGTTTTTTCCCTTCTGAATTTTGAAGGAAAAAGACGCCCCTTTGTCCATACACCTGATCGCCACTGTTCTAATACAGAGCCGCCCAAACGATGAGCGGAGACTCTCAGAGGCTGGAGCCAGAAGAAGCTTCCGGCATGGATGAACCACGACTTCAGTTGCACCCTGGGCTGTCCACTGTTCATTGGCGGTTCTCTGACCAGAAACCACGAAAACTGAGCCGCGGAAAGAAGCACGGAAAAGTAGATACGCCCAAGAGCAATCAAGCGAAAAATGTGCTCCAAGGCGAAGCACAATTATAATGAAGAGGCGCCTCAGCTCCAAAAATAATTCGCAGCCCTATTCTGGTGGCCGCGTCTCGATAGCCACTCACAAGGAAGCGATAGTCATGAGCACGATGGCGGTCAAGAAGAAACAGGTCGCAATACCACAGTACAATTTTGCTTGGCAAGGCTGCCCGTGGAACTCTCGAAAGATCACAACCCCATAAAAGATCTGCCGCGCCATGAGACACCGAGGCGGGTATGGTCCTCGGGCCCCGTCGCGACGGCCACCGACCCCCGAGTTCTGGCCATACTCTTCTCGGCCACACCCTCCTCCTTCTCCTCCTCCTCCTCCTTCATTTCATCCTCTCCTCCTCCTCCTTTTCCTCCTCCTCCTCCTCCTCCATCTGCTCCCTCCTCCTTCCAGTGGCCTTGGTGTGTGCTTCGGGCTTGCCGCAGGACGTTTCCCGGGGCCAGAAATCACCACCGAAGCTGGGAGACAGCGACAGGATGGCCCCTGAGATCGCCGAGAGACTCCCCCAAGCCCTCAGAGACGCCCAAGAGGCCCGCGGAGGGCGCGCAGGTGGACCCCAAGAGTAGAGGCCTCCTAGATGGGGTCCGAGTAGATGGGGTCGGGGGATCTCACCGCATCGCCGATACATCGACGATGCATCGCTGATGCATCGGCGATGCATCGGCGACGTTGGCGTGGAGAAGATCGAGCCCCACATCGAGTCGCATCGCCGATGCATCGCCGATGCATCGCCGATGCGGCGCAATCCTCCGACCCCATCTACTCCGACCCCATCTAGGAGGCCTAGAAAGAGGCCCCCAAGAAACCTCCAACAGGCCCCAGAGTGGCGTCCCAAAAGATCCCACGGGGCATCCAACAAGTCTCTGACCCACAACCCAAACACGGCGACAGGATGGGACGGAGGTAGCCAGATCTGCTGGCCCCTGTTGCTTGCAAGAAAGGTTGGTGGCGTGCAGATGTTGATTGCTTGGGCACTTCCACCAAGGGTTCCCGATGGTCTCCAGAAGAAGCCACCGGCCACCCAGAGAAATAGTAAAGCGCCTTTCTCCGCATCGAAGACGCCCAAGATGGCCCCCAGTATGGCCTACAAGACTTCAAATTTGCTCCAAGAGAGCCCAAGATGGCCGCCAGATGCCCCTCCAAGATGGTTCAAGATGGACCCAACACGGTCCAATATGACCACAGGACGGCCAGGAGTCCCCTGAGACGCTCCAAGTAGCTCCAGGAGGCTCTTAAGAGGCTCTCATCAGGCCCCAAATGCTTGATTATCCTGAGGTAGCTGCAGTGTTATCGCGGTCTCGCCCGTTCGGGCTTCCAACGGCCCAAAAAAGCCACAGAGGTATACAAGATAGCGCCAAGACGGCCCCGAATTCCTCAAGAGAGCAAGAGAGCCTGGAGACGAGCCATGATGGCCCCAAGACGGACCAACAGGCCCAAGAGGCACCTAAGACGGCCCCAGAGGCCTCCAAGACAGCAAGAAGGCGTCGAAAGAGGGCCCCTAAGACAGACCAGTGCAGATTCCAGGGCCTCCGAATGCCAAGACGTCCCGCAGAGGCTCTTAGAGGCCCCCAGCAAGCTCACAAGAAGTCCCCAAGAGGCCCCCAAGAGTCCTCAGAGGCCCCATGTGGTTCCCAAGACACACCCAGGAGGTCCCAGGTAATCCTCCTCCTCCCCATCCACCTTCTCCTTCCTCTGCTCCTCCTGTGTTCCTCCCCCAAGAGTTCCCACAACGGCTGGAGGAACACATAGCCAAAAAGCTTGGCAGAAATGCAGCATAACGTTGGGCCACATCGCCTCCCCAAGGAGGCAGGGGAAAGCGGCGGTTCGCCGTTGGCGTCCTCGATTCCAATGAGCGTGCCGCTGCAACCGATGCTGAATCCCACAGCTCGTGACACCACGGGTGTGCCCACCTGGAAGAGCCACCATCCAGAACCTGTACAAATTCCTGCCATGGCATTCCAACACGAGGATCTTGGTGATTTCCGCAGGGAATCGATGAACTGCGCTATAATCACTGAAGGGACACATTTGGAGACTGTCCCCAACTCGGGTTTGACAAGCGTTACGTAACACGTCAGCATCGGAAGAAGTGTCATAAGCTGGCCAGCCATGAACGCAGCTGTGATAATGTAGGGATCCAGATTTCCAAGTGAGCCAGCGACAGTGCAAATTGGCACCGTAGCGGCGAGGCAAATCCCTCCGAAGACGGGGACCAACAGGGACGTCCACTTCCGAGAAGTAGCAATCGTCATCTTCTTGTCAAACGAATCACCGATTCCTGACTCCTCAGGCTTGCAGTCCGGAGCTCCTGTCGCGGGAATGCATGCACCTGGCTCGTGAACAGTTGACTCAAGGTTGCGATCGATTCTTTTGGTATGAGAGACTGTGTCAAACAACATGCCGCAGATATTCAATACGATACCAGGAAACAATAACATGATATCTGCTTTGGGCTCGATGATGTAGGTGATGCCCGATCCGAAAACTAGCGGGATACCAAATCCAATTGGGCATGCAATGGAAATGCCTAACAAATCGATTGCACACGCCATCACGAAATCACCAATGCACAACGAACTGCCCGCCAAAATCCGCCAGCGTGCCGCTAGGCACGGAGTGGAGTTTTTTTTCTGAGGTCCCTTCGAGTTCTCTGGCTTGAGAGCTGTGTTTTCTCGTTGAAGGGTGGAGGGCGCAAATGGCTGCCTGTTCCATGAAGCGAGCTCATGCGCCTGCGCCAAACGCCCTGCGTGCGTGCTCACATGGATGCGTATTGGCACGGCCGCGTCGGCACGCGCGCTTCAGCTACACCGCTTGCGCACAACACTCGAAAGGCCCTCCGCGATAGGGGGTTTGGGGGAGAAGCGCTAAACCCTGAAAGGCTTTACCCTGGGAGGCCGAGTGACGGATCTCGGGGCTCCTCACGATTCCGGGGATTTAGACCAGAGAGCTACAAGACGACCCAACAGGGTCCCAAGAGGCCCCAAAGACGGTCCAAGAGGGCCCCAAGTGGGCCTCGGAGGTCAACACGACGGCCCAACATGCTTTCAAGACTGCCGAAAAGGGACCCGAGACGCACCACGAGGGGCCCCCCAAAAGGACCCGCAAGAGGGCTCGAAAAAGTCCAAATCACTGAAATTCGTTCCCCAAGAATCCAATCATGCCTCCCAGATTCCCCAGAAGAGGGATCCGAGTGCCTCCCCAACGGCCCCCGAGGCGCCCCGAGAGGCCCCTCAAGAGGCCTCGAAGAGGTCTTCCAAGAGACTCCAACAAGCATCCAAGAGGCTTCTGACTCACAACCCAAGCATGGTGGCTGGATGAGTCGGAGGCAACCAGTTCCGCCGCCCCTTCCTGCTTGCATAGGGTTGCTTGGCCGGCCGAGTACTGTTAGAACCCTCACTGAAAATTCCAACTGCGGTCTGGGCTTAACCGATCGGTCCACCAAAAAGCAGATCTCCGGCAGGTTTTTCAAATCTGGCATCCCAGACGGTCCAATATGGCCTCCAAGAAAGCAACGATGCCTCCGAGATGGCCCAAGATGGAGCGAGATTGCCCCAAGACTGCCCAAGATGGCATCAACGCGGCCAGAAATGCCCAGAAGAAGGCCCAAGATTGCTCCAAGAGGCCATTCGGGAGAGCTCGAGCAATCGAATCAATCACTCTTGACGATGTTGAACACACACCGCCTTCTACCCAATTCTTGCTCTCGACACCCAGAGCGTCCAGGAGGCCTACAAGACGGCCCCCAAAAAAACACCCAAGACTGCCCAAGAGGCCACCGTGACGTTCCCGAGAGGACCCCAAGGCGGTCCTCGAGACCTCCGAAGACGGCGCCCTGACGCGCACCAAAAGGCCACCGAACGCGCCAGTCGGACAAAGATAACCAGCCTCGAACGCATCCCCATCCCTAAGATGGGCGAGCAAAAAGCGAGGACAATCTTAGGGATGGGCCCTCAGAAACTCAGGGAATCCTTAAGATCGGCATCGAGGTGAGGTGATGTCAAACATAAGGATAAGGATATGTGAAGGGGAACTGGGACACACAAATAAATACACACAAATAAAAATAGCACCCATATTTGTCCATATGTTCTGGGTTTCTGTCTTCCCCCCCACTTCCCATATTTTCCTATATTTTCTGGGAGTCGACGATTCATTGTGTCTGTGTGTTTTTTATCCTCCTGGATATGTTTCAAACTGGTAAAAAGAGAGCCGGGCGACGGCCCGAGAGGCCCACAGGCTTCTCAGAGGCCCCCGAGGGGCCCCCGAGAGGCCCCCGAGGAGGCCCCAAGAAGGCCCGCCCAAGAGGCCCTCGGACCACCACGGGGCCCCGAGGAAGCTCCCCGGATGCCCTCAGGGGCCCCTCGGCGGCACTCTCCTCGTGTTCTTCATGATCCTCTCTCTCTCCTCCTCCTCCTCCTCCTCCTCCTCCTCCTCCTCCTCCTCCTCCTCCTCCTCCTCCTCCTCCTCCTCCCTCCCTCCTCCTCCTCCTCCTCCTCCTCCTTCTCCTCCTCCTCCTCCTCCTCCTCCTCCTCCTCCTCCTCCTCCTCCTCCTCCTCCTCTCCCTCCTCCTCCTCCTCCTCCTCCTCCTCCTCCTCCTCCTCCTCCTCTCCTCCTCCTCCTCCTCCTCCTCCTCCTCCTCCTCCTCCTCCTCCTCGTCCTCCACCTTGCCAGGTGCATCTTTCATGATCCGAAGCAGTGTTTTCGCAAGCCTGAGCGTTTGCCCAAAAGGGAAGTTCAAGTCAGAGGGGTCTCGCTTCCGTGCAACTTGGAGGGAGGCGTTGTGATTGTGGACGCTTCTGGCGTTGAGGAAGATTTCCCCTCGGTAAGGTTCGCTGGGTAGGCATCTGTGCTGTACGATTCTGGAAGGCGTTACCAAGGAACGCATTACAAAGCTATCCCGGCACTTGTTGGCCTTCAGCAAGTCGCCAGAGACGGGGAACACTTCGCAGTCCTGAAGGTGTCCGAGCTTGTTCTTGGGCAGCTCTCGTTTCTGTGTGACTGCAAAGGAACCCTTAGCTGTTGT